GCGAGGGGGGGGAGAGACATGTACCTGAGGAGGCTTAACATGTCTCGTCTGTCCCTCCATTCCTCATGAAGTGGTACCTGCTGTTAATAATTCTGCCTTCACTCACGTATTCATGTCAAAATATTATTTATTTATTTATTTATTTATTTGATTTTTACCCCGCCCCTCTAGACCATGTCTACATGCCTCTTCTTTTTTTGGCCTTCTCCCATCCAGCTCAGACCTTTCTTCGGCCAAGTGCTGGGAAGAGGCTCCCCTCCCTGCTGAACTTGCTAGTAGAAAGTTGTTGTTTTTCTTGTCGGGGCTTCGTCCAGAGCACAGATTCTGCCGATGGAAGGAGAATCATGTTGAGAATTTGTTAATGTATTCTCAGGATAGTAGCAGAGTTAGGAGATACCAGGTTGCAAAGACATTATAACACCGAGAGAGTAAGATACCATCTTAGTCTATTAACATATGTACAGAGACAATAGACATTCTTCTGGCAGTATAACATAATATGATAAAACACATAGCAGAAACTGCCCCGGGGGGGGGCAGTTTAAAGTGCGTGTGGATGCACAGACCAGACTACCCAGTCCATCCCCATATATCCAGGAGCAAATACTTTTTCCATGTTTGGACCCCAATACTGGGACGATCTGTTCAAATTTACAACAGCCACCAATGCCAGACCCACTCAGGGCAACTCCAGAACAACCGGGGAAAACATCGCAATGTGAATGAGCCCCAAAAGAAGGGAAAAGACAGGTCTTCACAAGTGATGCAGGTTTCCACTTGAGTCGAGACCAGAAATTTAAATGCTTGCTGGTGTTGTCCTTGCAGAAAAATGCAAGGAATTGCAAGATGATTCTTCTCCCTAGTGTGGATGGCAAGGCATGTTGTGGTCCTTCCAGTAAAGATTTCACACCATTATGTGTGTGAGAAACTACCCATAACTGTAGTGCAAGACTGCCCATTTCTTGGCACGGTTCATAAAAGAGGGATATTCTCTCTTGATGCTTAGAATCATGTGTCAGGATACAGAGCCCATGTAGGAGACTAAGCGGAATCTTCAATCTACAACATTTCACAGCATGGAGACAAACACCGTTGGGGAAGGGCCGTGGTGTCACTACCCCTTGTCATGTGGCACATATACGGAGGAGGGGCCTGCGAGAAGAAAGGGCAGCCATTCCCTTGTCGTTCCTATAAAGAACGGGGAC